TCCCCTCAGCTCTCCCAGGGCAGACTTCTCACAGCTGAAGTCCCTTTCCCTGCATTGGCGTGATGCTGCACAACATCATCCCTACAGCTGGCTGGTATTTTTGGGGGGCTATTTTGTCCTATTTTTAGGAAATGCCAATATGGATTGGGGACTTTTTTTGGGTCTGGGAGGGAAAAGGTCAGCCTGAGCAAATTTCTCAACCTGAACTGAAAGCAGAGAGGGGTGACAAACCCACTCCAGCTTCAGATGGAGCTAATTAAAGTGCTGACATTTTAAGACACGATGATGTGAAGTCTCTTGCTTCAAGCCAAGTCTGGGCCCTTTTCAGAGTTTTGTTCTGCTGCCCAGAGATTCCAGGAGAGGTACAAGCCAACTGAGAGGGGTGATGGGTTGTTTTTAATGTGGTATTGTCCTTACAGTGCGAGCAAGATTTAGCCTTTGGAAGAATCCTGTCACGTCAGGTTGCCTGGGCAGAGATTCCCAAAAAAGTGGAGCTCTCCAGCTCAGGTGTCTGGGAGAGGATTAGGAGTCTTGGCACTGTCATGTTTTACCCTGCAGAGAGAACAGGGGAGGAGAACCCCAGCCCCACAACACGGGGGTAACTGGGTGCACACCCCAAAACCTGTAGCATCACCCCAACAACTCTCCCCTGCACGAACAGGGATATAAAATCCAACCAGGTGCAGTTTCCTGGAGGATGGAGGCTTTTTGGGAGGGCAGGGGAGGGTGGGCATGTGTGCCATGTGCTGCCAGCAGGGCTGACACGCGGGGCTGGGGCTGGGAGGGAGAGAGGGAGGGAGCTGCAATCAGGAGCTCTATTGTGGCTCTCGGGCTGCCGGCACAATGCAGCATTAAGAGACAAAGTCAGCTCGGCTCAGTGGGGTGCGGGAGGTGATTGGGGGGAAGGAGAGGCTGGCTCTGACAGGTACAAGGAGCCTGGAGTGATGGGGGGAAAGCCAGACTGATGCCGGCGCCTGCAAACAGTTTCTGGCTCCAAGCCGAGCTGCAGCTCTGGGAGGGTGAGTGAGCTGTGCTGCTCCACTGAGAATATCCCGGGGTGCTCCCAGGAGGGACCAGTCTGCACCAGCCCTGGGGACAGGGATGCACCCAGGCATGAGGCACAGCGGTGTGGATGGACAGACAGACAAACAGGCTGATCTCCAGGGAGAGATTGATCAGGGCAGGGCAGGCACCAGCCCAGGCTGCAGCAGGAAAACCTTTCCATGTGAAGGGAGCTGGTGGGGTGCTGGGCAGCAGCATCATTTGGGGTTTAAAGCCCCATTCCTTATCACCATCCCTTCTGCAGGTGCCCAGGTGCACCTTCCCCTGCCAGGTGAGGGCCCCACGAGTCCAAAGGGCTGTGCTGGTGCCAGTGGGGCCAGTTGGGCTCTGGGGAGCCACAAGAGCAGCTTCTCAATGGGAAAAAATAATAGTTTGGGGACAACCTATTTTACTAGCTCAGAGAAGAGGTGAAACACCCTGAGCTCTGCCCCACCACCATGCTCTGAGTGCAGGTGAGATGCTGGAGGTGGATGTGAGGATGGAGATGAGCTGGTGGATGTGAAGATGCAGTTTAACTGGTGGGTTCAGGATGGAGATGAGCTGGTGGATGTGAAGATGGAGTTTAACTGGTGGCTGTGAGGATGGAGGTGAGCTGGTGGGTTCAGGATGGAGATGACCTGGTGGAAGTGAGGATGGAGGTGAAGTGAGGACTGTGAGGATGGAGCTGAACTGGTGCATGTGAGGATGGAGGTGAGCTGGTGGCCTCTCCCCAGCTGAGACATTTTCTGCTCCGTCATCCTGAGTTTTCTGCTCTGTTTTGCCAGACTGTTCCGGGGAAGGCGGCTGAGCCGTGCCGCGCGTTCTCCCAATGCCATCTAGTGTCAGCTCCGGCAGCCCCGGACAGTTATTTTAAGGCATCAGCGCTGATTTATTGCAGAAGGATCTTTGAGGGCCAACAGGCTGCCCAGGCTGGTTATTAACAGCAGCACGGATAACTAACGGATGGGTGCGCAGCCTGGGCTGGATTATTTTTATTATCGCTCCTGTTTCGCACTAAAAACCCACCCTGGCAGGATGGAGTGCGAGGATTCAGTGCCGTGTCCGAGGTGATTAAAGTCTTTCAGCCTTCAGCCACTTGTCTTGTAGCCCCGCCATCACCTGAGGCTTAATCACTCAGAAAAGTGCTGTCATGTCCTATTGTCGCCGTATTGGGAGCGCGACCTCTTTCCCGTTTAGCTGCCATCTGAAAAGAACGTAACTTGCCAGGAGACAGGCGTGACTCAGGAGAATGGTGATGGGATATAAAGACTTTGACCTGCGGGCCGCCCATTTGGAGGCTGCCAAGGTCAGTGGCAAGGGCGACTTTTCTCGGTGATTATTTGGCCAAACAACCCAAAACAGGCAGTAATGGTTCTGTGCGTGACAGACAGCACTGGACTCTGCTCCTGCCGTGAGGGCATCAATCTGCCAACCCCTTCCCGCCTGGGGTTTGGGGCTGTGACTGCCCACGGTCCCCTCCTGCTCAGGAGTTTGTCCTCCACATCTTTCCTTGCCACCATCACAGGGCCATGGGCTGCACAGGCTGAGAACACTCATTTCTGCCTTTTTAGAGGCAAAGAGCCTCGGCAGCATCTCCCGTGTCCCATCCATCGGCCTGTCAGTGCAGGGGAAGGTTTCACAGGACAGATGTGCCCTGTCCCCTGCTCGTGTGTCCCCTGCTCTGCTCACCACCATCACCTGCCATGATTTAGGTCCCTGCTAACCTCATCCTCATCCTCAGCCACTGCTGACCATGTCAATTTATCTCCTTGGCTGCAAACCACCTCATGAGGCAGTTTGAGTCGGTGATTAATTAAGGTCTCCCTAGCAATGAGGTTACTCCCTGCAGCCTCACATATAAATGTAAGATTAATGGGTGCTGGCCCTGTTGGACGGCCACGACCAGGCTGGGCCAGCGAGGGTTTGCCTGCTCCCATCCAGACACTCCTTGAACACAGATTTTCCGTGGAAGAACTTCCAAACAAACCCATGGGATGGGGAATGCAGCCGGCAGGGCAGTGGGGAGCCAGGGGGCCGAGGAAAGGGGGTCCCGGGGCTGAGCCAGGCACTGAGCAGAAGCAGCAGCCAGCGATGTTCATCACAGACTCTCCCCGAGGCTGAGCCAACATCCAGCCTGCTCTGGGTGTTTAATTTTCACTAATCTGTTTGGGGTTTTTTAATTATCTGCAAACAAGGTGCCTTCTTCATGGAATAACAATGCTGGGGACAGTGGGCGGCGGGGCTGTGCCCACACCCCTTCCCTGCCGCTCCGGAACTTTGCCCAGGACTTGTTTATCTGTCCCTATCCATCATCAATCACGGGATTCCGCCCTGCTAACCAGCATCTGCATCTGCATCTCCGACAGCAGGAGCGAGTCCTGCTCAGCTGGTGTGTGAAAGCCTTCGCAATCACCCGGTGCTAAGGAGCTGGAGGAGGGTTTAAATACAAGGCTCTTTAATAAGATGAAAAGAGCCCTTCCTTTCCCCACTGGTTTTCTGCTTGCTCTTTCATGCTGTCGGAGCCCTCGGGTTGTGTCAGGGCCTGCCTCTCCGTGGGCTGACAGGTTTCCTAACTCCCCTCCCTGCACTGTCAGCACAGCATCAGGAACAGCAAATTCCAGTTGCAGCAGCTGGAGGAGGAGGAAGGCCAGGTCGGAGCAGTCCCTGGCCTCGTGTGGTCGGGTTTTTTCCTCCAAAACATCCTCAGTGGCACCGGTGACCTGCAGAAAACCCTGTGCCTCGTTGTGTGCAGCAGGAAAATGGGTCTAATCCCGTTTCCCCGTCTCCTCCGGAGCTGGCTGCAGTGTTTGATTCATGTCAGCGCCTTGGCTGGTGACTGCGGGATGAATGACGCTATATAAATGCAAAGTGTTATTAATATTTCATGTTGTAGTGAAAATGTACTAATGGGGCTTGTTCCTGGAAGATAAAGTGCTGCCATTAATACACCTTTGTGTCCCCTGCGCTGGGGACTCACCTGTGGAGGGATGGAGGGGCTCTACCAGAGCAGAAACTGCCCATCACACCTGGCAGCTCCCCAAAAGAGGGGATTTTAACCCAGAAAGACACAAAGAGCCTCTTCTGACACCCACAAAATTAGGGGTGCCAGGGGCAGAACGTCCCCCCACCCACCACTGGGTGCTGGTGGATGGGGGCTGCTCTGGGTCCTCCCTGCCTGCCCGAGGGGGGCACAGCCCCTGGGAACCCCCTCCCCAGCACAGCCACTACACAGGCATGTTAAAAAAAAATAAAAATGGGCTTGTTTGATTTCAAACTGCAGAACTCTTCCCTGGAGCCATCCGCAAACACTGGTAATTTACTTTACAGCTGTTTAGATTTGTTTCTCTACGTTTTTTTTTAAACCCCAGCAGAATTGCAAATGAAATGTGTGTTTGCTCCTCAAATGACTCCAGCCCTACCTGAACTCCTGCACCCCACATCTCCTTGGACTCCCTCCCCTCTGATCCCCATCCCTGCACCCCACAGCTGTGAGATGGGGGTCAGACCTCCAAGAGGGGATTCTCTGAGCTGGGGGTTCCTCTTGGGAGGGCTCCAGATTCTGGCGTCAAGGAGGGGTGATGGGGAAGAGACTTGTGCCAGCTTGCAGGTGAGGGGAGCACAGGCAAGCAGTTAATCAATTGCCAGTGAAATTATCAACTGCCACCCATTTAGTAGAGGGTGGCAAGGGATAAAGTAAAGGCTCTGCTAAATTATTGCCACGGTGCAAAGTTTCAATAAAAAAAGATTATAAAGGGCGGTGCTCGGCTGAGAAGCTCCCGGAGGTGGGGCCTCCCAGGGCTTCGACCACTCTGCAGCGAGGGGATGGGTGCAGGGAAGGCATGGAGGGACCCCAGGTAGTGCTGAACATCCCTGCAGGAGCTGAGCACTGCCAGCCCCGAGCTCCCACCCCTCCCCACGGCGGAGAGCCGGCTCAGCCCTTCCCGGCACGGCAGCGCTGCGGGGCCGCCCTTCGCCTCGGGAAATTTGGCATTCCATGGGACACGTGGGGATCCGCCTGGAGCCTCATCCCTTCCCCTGGGAATCTCCTCCTCGCTCCCAGGAGCGCGGGGCTGACTCATGTGCTGTCTCTTGTGCCGGGCGATGCGCTCCTGCCCCGGGCAGGTGCCGACCTGCAGCAGCGCCGCCGAGGGACAGCCGCAGGTGAGCGGCCTGGGGACCCCCTCTGCCGCGACCCCCGGCCCCGAGGAGGTGGGGAGGGCTCTGGGGAAGTGAGTCTGCCCAGCCTGATGGGCACGGCCCGCGCTGCTGCCGGCAGCGTGCGCAGGGAAGGAGGAATTTGGGGTTCGCGTGTTCCTCCAGGGAGCGCCCGGAGAACCGGAGCGTCCGTGGCCACTCCAGCCCTGCGGGAGGGTGCACTGGCTCAGCTGTGCAGAGCAGGGGGTGTTCACCCCTCGGCGAGAGGCAATCTTATTAAGTTATTCCACTTATTTAAGGAGAACCAGAGCCAAACGCAGCCCTGGGAGTTTTTGCTGCAGCTCCAGGGAGCACGGGGCGCGTTTATCCGGCACGATGCGAGCCGGGCTCAAATCGACCTCGCAGGCTCCTGGGGTTGGTGAAATTGGTTGTTTTGGCTGCCCGGCCCCAGGGCAGCCCCTCGGCATGCAGTCCCCCAGCCTGTGCCCTGCCGTGGGCTGCCCGTGGGCTGCTCGGTGCTTGGGGACACGGAGCGGTGACACGGAAAGGTGGCAGCGGGCTCCTCCTGCGCTGCCCGGCGGAGGCGACGGCAGATTCCAGCGGTGGGAGAGGACGCGGCAGCTCCTCTTTGTTGTCTGCCTGGGCCAGGCCTGGCAACGTAAAGGGAAATGAATAACAAATACCTGAGCAACGAGGCGGGAGCTGGGGCGGGATGGGGGCTGAGCCGTGCACCGGGGGTGGCTGGAGGATGCTGTGGCTGGGGCAGAAACCCCGAGTGTTGTCAGGGGCCCAGAGTGGAGGACAGTGCTTGGAGGAGACGTGTCACCCGGAGCAGGTCTGTGCTGTCAGTGGTGTCCCTGAGTGCCAGCACAGGTCAGAGGTGGCCCCAGGAGCACGGCTCGGTGCTTTGAGGCACACAGGGCCTCCAATGGGGACCTTTTGCTGCCGCTTCAGTGTCACAGCATCTTCTCTCTTCCCAGGCTGGCTAAGAGGATCGGGGAGCCATGAACTGGGGGGCGTTTGAGGGGCTCCTCCGTGCTGTCAATGTCTACTCCACAGCCTTCGGCCGCATCTGGCTCTCCCTGGTCTTCATCTTCCGCCTGCTGGTCTACCTGGTGGCGGCCGAGAAGGTCTGGAGCGACGACCACAAGGACTTCGATTGCAACACGCTGCAGCCGGGCTGCACCAACGTCTGCTTTGACCACTTCTTCCCCGTCTCCCACATCCGCCTCTGGGCCCTGCAGCTCATCCTGGTGACGTGTCCGTCCCTCCTGGTCCTCATGCACGTGGCCTACAGGGAGGCCAAGGAGGAGAGGCGGCGTGAGATCCAAGGGGACAATTATCGCTGCAAATACCCCAACCCCGGCAAGAAGCGGGGCGGGCTCTGGTGGACGTACCTGCTCAGCCTCATCTTCAAGGCCAGCGTGGACGTGGTTTTCCTCTACATCTTCTTCCGCCTCTACAGGAACTACACCCTGCCCCGGCTGGTGAAGTGCGAGCTGCCGCCCTGCCCCAACGTGGTGGACTGCTTCATCTCCCGGCCCACTGAGAAGAACATCTTCACCCTCTTCATGGTGGTCACCACCTGCGTCTGCGTGGTGCTGAACCTCGTCGAGGCCACCTACCTGATTGGGAAGAGGTGCCACGAGCGCCTGGAGGCCGGAGGAGGGGACAGCCAGCAGCACAGCCACGACTGCCCCGTCTCCTGTGCCAACCCCGTGGGCACGGGCGGGCAGGCGTTCCGTGGGGCTGACTACAAACCCCCCACAGCCACCATCCCGCTCACGGCCTCCTGCCCCAGCACGCTGTCCGAGGATGAGGCTCCCTCCTAGAGCTGCCCAGGAGAACAGAGGAGCTGCTCACCTGGCCTGCAACTTCCTGGCTGCTCTTCCTCCCCTGTGCTCCAGCGCAGGGCGCTGAGGGTGGCAGCACCTTGGAGCTGGGCTGTGTCTGAGGGGTTTCTGACTCTCCTGTGCTGGGAAAGGCACTCTCCATCATCCTGCTGAATTTGGGGTAAAGCTGGGGCTGTAGAACACGTTCTGTCCCTGGCAGTGGCAGGGAGCAGCAGCTCCATGGCAGCTGTGAATTTACAGTGGTGCCCAGACTCTGAGCCTGCACCAGCCAGGACAGACACCCTGATCCCCCAGGAAACACCTCTTCCTATCTCTCACCCTACATCAGCCACTCAGTGGGTGTCAGGGCCACCTCAGACTGATGCAATTGTCATTAATAACACTCATTAGTTGAGTGGGGACAAGAGCAGGTTCCTGGTGTCCCAGCCAGGGCGAAGCGCAGGCGTGAGGATCCAGCCAGGCAGGCAGAGCCCGCTGTGAGCTGCTGGATCATCCTGCCTGGCCAGGGCAAAACACCTGAGCAAAACAGCCGGACACAGGAGAGGAAAACACCCCAAGCATTGATTAAACTAACATTAAATGGCAGAATCTGATCTCGTTTATTGCTGTAGTCCATCGCGTTCGGCCGTGACACGGGCGCTGCTGCTGCTTCCGAGGCCATCAGAGGCAGCTGGCATGAATAATTAACAATAATTTCATGGCAAATGCACTCACAAGAAACATTAACATTGAACATGCAGCTCGATCTGTTACTGGTTTTGCTTTATTCAGAGGGTGTGATAATTATTTTTTCCATGAGCAGTGACAGTGCCAGCGCTCCCTGGCTCTGTCCCAAAGGAAGTGGCACAGGGGGCGAGGGAACACCATCGCTGTGTCCTGTATGAGACTGAGGCCATTCTCAGTGACAGATCATCACGGTGATCCAGCTGAGACCTTCCATGGGCAAAACTGAGCTCTTTGCCACAGCTGGATGGGAGGCTGAGGGGCTGCTGGGGCCAGGGGGACGCTGGGGACAGGCAGGGCTGAAGGGAAGCCAAGAGCAGGTGGGGCTGCAGCACTGCTGGATGGGAGGGCAGGGAATGAACCAGCCACTGGTGGGGGTGAGGGTGCTGGAGAAGCCCTGGGGGGATCCTGGCCACCAGCACTGAGCCCTCTGAGCCCACAGCTTGAGTCTGTGGGAGCTTTGGGGTCAGAGACACAGATGATGAAATACACACAGAATTTTTTTCCACTTCTCAGGGGCAGTTGTGCTGGCACTGCCTTCCTTCCATCCGCTCCTGCTGCTGGATTATCCACCTGAAAGTTTTCTTTATGAAGTGCATAACGTCAGAGGACACAAGTTGTTCTTTGTGTGCGAGCCATTGCCCCGAATTAAAGAGCATGGGCTGGGCTGTTTGTTTTCCAGCAAGGTTGGCCACTCCTGCTCCAGGCTGGAGAGTGAAACCCCAAGGAGTTCCCCTCTGCAGGCGCTAATGGGGACAGAGATGAGCCCCAGAAAAACCATCCTGTCCCAGCTCTGCACACCAAAGCACAGCTGGAGCTGCTGCCCACTGAGAGACACCTGCAGATCCAGCTGCTGGATGATGTTGTGCTGTTTTGTCTTGCTCAGAGCAAACATTGCAGAGCTCTGGGTGTCTTGCACCATCCAGGCTTGGGATAAGCAGCAGTCAGCCAGAAAAACAGGAGCATTCTGCTGCTTCTTTTGATACTGGTGCCAAAAATGGGGGTCTGGGTACTGGGATATCTCCTGGAATGCAGAGGCAGGACCAGAGTCAGCAAACCACGGGGTGTGTCACAATAAAAGCTGAATATTTCCCAGAGTTTGCATCCTCACACAGGAAATTCGCTGTATTTGCTTGTAAGGTCCCAGAAGACTTTCTAAATTTGGGGTGAGGGGATTTTAAAGAAACTCACCACCAACTCCAGGCCAGGCAGGGATGTGGAGGGGATTGCGTGCACAGGTCAGGGGTAAATTTGCCTTCCCAGCTGGGGTTTGTTTCTGCCCTGGCCAAAACCTGCCTGTTTGCTGGGAATTGAGGAGAATCTCTCTGATTTATGTCTAACCCTGGCTGCCAGCTCCCAGGACCCCATGACTCCTCTGCCCCTGTTCTTGCGGGGGAGTCTCGTCCCAGGGGATGTGGCCCTGGAGGGGGACAGCTGCTGGCAGACAGAATCCTGCCATGCTCCATTTAAGCCCAGGGGATGTGGCCCTGGAGGGGGACAGAATCCTGCCATGCTCCATTTAAAACCCTTCTAAAAAGGGTTTTAGGTTTGAGCTTTTCCTGCTGGTTTGGCATCTGCCAGCTCCACAGTTTGGATTTTTCCTTTATGGAGGATCCAAGGCTGGGCCTCCCTAAGCCACTGGGTGTTTCAGTGCTCACATCTGGCACTGAGGCCTCTCAGCTGTGGGGGAGCAGGGTGGCACATCCTGGGTACACCCCTGAAGCTCCCAAAGAGCTGGGATCTGCAGAACCACACTGACACCTTGTCCCTGTGCCCCCATTACCATCCCTCTGCCAGTGTGGGCGCAGGGACGTGCCCCGTGATGGATTTATGGATTTACCCAAACACTCAGCTCAGCATTTCCAACACTGCAAAGCACAGGCTGTTTCTGCTCCCCGCCCAACTGCCTGAGGGAGATCTTCTGCCCATGCCAAATGCACCTGAACTTTCTCACCGTGACCACAGGGCTGCTCCAGAAATTCCAAAACTGCAGGCAAGAGGCTGCCCAGGGGGACCTGGCCCCACTCTTCACCTGGCCCTTACAGGGCTTGGCCGTGGGGCAGGGAGCAGCTGCCTCTGCAAGGAATCAGAGCTGCCAGTGCTTCCCAACAGCTTCCCTCTCTCCAGGGCTCTTCACCTCACAGGCCACAGCCCCCAGATTCCTGCAGAGCTCCTGCCACACCAGCTCTCTGCATCAACATAGCTCAAATTCCTGATCCGGGCAGCTCCGGGGTCAAGGAAGGTTCCGGAGCCCCTGCTTGGCTCTCATCCGGGATTGGGGTGCCTGTGGCTGTCCCCTCCTCCAGGCTTACCCCATCCTGCACCCCCAGCCTCCCACCAGGGTTTGCTTTGGGTCTCCTGGGCTCCCATTCCATTGTCCCCAGCCTGGCAAACCCTCGCTGGCTTTGTTTGACCTCCTGGAGACAAAAAACCTCCGGGCAAGCGGCTCCTTGTGTGCCAGGAGAGCAGGGAGCAAATCTCTGCAGGCACCAAGCACCCCGGGGCTCCTCAGACGTGTCCCCACGGGAGGGGTGGCCCTGGCCAGGTGCCGAGGTGGCTCCAGCACGGCTGATGGGCCCCAGGGTGTGCCGGAGGATTCCAGGGAATCCTCGGGGCACTCTAGAAACCAGGTGAGGAAGGGAAGCGCATTCCTGCCCGGGCTACATCGGCATCTACCGCGGCTGATCCGTGGGACATCCGGTGGGATGAGCTGACACAGCCTCCTGGAAGCCACCTCTGGGCAGAGGGACAGACCCCTTAGGGACACCTCGCGGGTCCCAGGGGGTGTGACATGAGGCAGCAGCAGAGCGGGGACCCTGGTGCCAGCTGCTCTGTGGGAAAGGTCCCACCTGGCCACACCGGCCCCGCCAGGGCGGTGCCTGCAGGTTCCCGTAGGTTGGAGATACCGATGAGCTGTTGCAAAACTATTACTAAGGCAAAATCACTTCAAAAGTGGGTTGCAATTGCGTAATGCGGGACTCTGGGCAGTGCTTGCTGGTGGGCCCAGGGCTGGGTCTGCAGCGCCCAGACCATCCCTGCAGGGGATGGGACATCACCTGGAAGGAGCTGCTGGTGTTTCCTGCCGAGGAATGCGTCCGTGCTGATCTCCCTGCGGGGTTTGACCTGCCTTTTGTTGTTCAAGCCGAGCGTGTGTGTGCATGTGCGCAGCAAGAACGTCTCCAGGAGCTGTTTGCCAGACTCACCCAGTTACTGGGAACCAAACCAACCACCCTTCCCCTCCCCTCGCACGCTCAGACAAACCCTGCGTGTGCAGGAGGGCTGAGGCTGGCAAGGAGCTTCCCCGATCCCATCCGGACACCTTCCTCTGGCTCTCCCACCTGGACAGGTACAGGGCTGCCAGGGTGGAGGGGGGACAGCCCCGCGGGGTAACGGGGGGCAGGTGGGAGCTGTGTTGAGGTGTAACAGGGGGAAGGTGGGACCTGGGGCTGCTGTGACTGTGGGCTCAGAGGTAGGGACACCAACCTCACACAATGCCACACCAGGACCCCACAGGCCATGCCGGGGTCCCCATCCCATGGGGTGATACACGGGGATGGCACAGCGTGGCACCCCGAGGAGCAGCAATGGCCCCCCCCCCAGGCCTTGCACTTCTGTCCCACACCCCAAAGAGGCAGAGACCCCCCCGAGAAAAGTGGTTCTGCTGAGTTTGCAGCCCAGCTGGGAGCAGGGCGCTGTCGGGTCCAACGCCCTGCGCCCACACGGGGCAGGACGTGGCCGTGACGCAGTGGGTTGGCATCCCGGGGGCTGGCAAAGGTGCCGGGCTCTGCGGGAGGCAAACGGGCACTGCCGGCACAGCTGAGCACACCTGAGCGCTGCCCCTGCTCTGCCTGGCTGCCATCCAGCCCTGGGCAGCCCCTGGGGGCTCACGGCGTGCTGCACACACCCGCTGCCACGGGGATTGGCACAGGGCTTGGCACGGAGATCCCGTCCCCTTCCTGCCCCGCTGCGGGTCCATGACTGGAGCCAGCGCTGGGCTGGCAGCTGCTGGGCAGGTGGGTTATGGGCAGGGGGGTGCTGGAGGGGTCTCACTGGCACCAGGGATGGGTCGTGGGTGAATTGGCTGGCACTGGGGGCATGCAGAGTCTCCAGGTTCCATCAGCACCAGTTTTTGGGGGCAAAACAGCAGCTCCCCTCTGCCGGTTTTAAACCCAAGGGCTGGGTGGGAACACAGTGATTGCTCCCCACCCTGACTCCCGGCCGAGGGTTTGCCAGGGAGGAAGATCTGGTTTCAGATGGGGTGGGGAGCGAAGGTGTGTGGGCACGGGCAGAAGCACAGCCCTGGCACTTAGGACACGCTGCCAGGGACCCCATCCTGGGGCTGCTCAGCCCAGCCACCCTTCCCGGTGCGTCCCTGGGCCAGGAGTGTGGGAGCACAGCCACAGATTCAGGGCTTGCTGTGGGTGGCCCTGGCCAAGGAGAGGCTCCCAGAGTGCTCCATGGGCTCCGGGCAGTGCTGCAGGTCCTGTTCCACCCCACAGCCCTGGGACACCACAGTGCACTGGATGAGGGGACCCTGATCAGCAGTCTGCCATCGCGCCCTGGCTATGCCCCGTGCTGGACACTTCCCACCCCACAGCCCCCGGTGAGCGGGGAAGGAGCCTGAACCCCTCCAGGTACGTCTCAGAGGGCACTGGGTGGGCAACAGGCAGAGGCAATTCCTTAAAGTGGGAGCAAGCCGGTGAATCCCTTTGCCAGGGCAGACACCTTCACAGCCCAGAGGGTTGTGAAAACCAGCCGGGTTTGTAAATCCAGGTGCAGTAAAGCTCCGGGTCAGGCTTAGCATGTCTCCCTCCTCACACAGGACA